GAGTACGTATATCCAAATGTGGAGCAATAAAAAATAAAGATGGAGAAATTATTTATGAAAAGGAACAGGTTGTAGATAGATAGGGCTAGGTACTTAAAAAAAAACTATAATATGAAACGAAAATGTAGTTATTTTTCTAATGGATTCGCATAAGTGAAAAATGTTTTCTACTATTTATGAAAAATACAAAATAAATCATTTTATAATTAGGATATTATGCAATGTTACGCATATTAACAAAGAATATCACCAAAAATTGAAAAATAGCATTAAAAATCTAAAATAGGTACTTCAAATATAAATAAAAATAGCAATATAAAATTTCATATTTGGATTCCCTGGTGCATAAAACAAATATAAAGTTCACTCTGTTATTTTTATCTGTATTCTAAATAATTAAAAAATACTATAAAATCCGAGCAATGGTTATAACATAGATTTACTATTTGGTATTTATTAATTGATTACAATGTTGTATTTAATATAATAACATAATACGAAGCTGGCACCACAAAGTTCATACGAAATTAAAAAAAATTTCCAACATCTCTACTCTGAGTTTTAAAAGTGATTCAAATTTGAAATTTTCGGTGCCAAGAACATGACTAACACCACATTGAGATTTAAAGTTTGAAAACTCATCCAACAATGTTGATATGGGTTTGTTAGACATTCTTGGAAGTTTGTTGGAAAATGTTGGACAAAATTAAAAGCTCTGTGAATAAAAGAAATTGTGGTGTTGAGAAGTTGGCACCACATCTTATGGAACGATATTGCAAATGTACAACAAATTAGTTCAGTCCAATTTATTGGTCAGTATTCCATAAATGCAAATTAGTTTTTACAATATTAAATAATAAGAAAATCACCTTTTATCATTTATTCATATTAAAATTGTCTATTTTCCTCTAGCACCACAAGTGACTATATCTCACGTATAATGAAACAAAAAAGGACTTTTTTACATTCTTAAGTTGAGACAACTTTCAAAAATTGTCCAACAAATTAGTTTTGACCATTGTATTAATAAATAAATCACTCTAAAAAATAAATTCATATTTTAAATGCCTGTTTTCCTCCAACACTACTGTTACTCTGCCATGCTCGTGGAATAAATATATTCCAAACACAGGAGACACCAAATTGATCAAATGCCAAGCGGCAAGTACACACTAACGAAAAAAAAGTGAAAATACTAAATAACTGTTTGTAGATCAACACTATTTAGGAAGGTATACAAAATGACACAATATTATCTTTAATAATAAAAATTGTATTATGATCTAAAATACAAGTGGCTTAATTATTTACTAAGTGCACGTGGTTTAAGGTTAAGGAGGTCATTTTTTGATTTTCTATAGAATTTTTCCCAATAAATAGGAAAAACCGAAAAAAAATGGGAAACCCATAGGAAAAAGGAAAACAGGTAGACTATTAAACAAATAATACTTAAGAAAATATACAATGTCATTGTAATTATTTTTTCATAATATGACATTAACAAGGTGATTCTGAAATAAATGAGGTCATTAGTATATCGACTTACGAGGGTCGCCTAATGATGACTTTTTTGACATTTTTTTTCCTATCTTCAATACTTGGGTTTTTTTTAAGTTATTTGTTTAATTTTATCTTCAAATTAAAAATTAATACTCGAATAATATTCTTTGCAAAAATCTCATACAAATTAATATGCCGCGTCATTTTTGCGTATGTCACACAATTTGCACGCTCGAATTGATAGAAAAAATATGTGGTATGATCAGGAGGTGGCTATAGTACTTTCAATGTAAAGCAAACAGAAGGGCAAACTTTAGTATGTGCAATTAGAAAAAAAAATACTGCATAATTTACGGTAGATTTAAGATGGGTATTTATGATAAGTGATAACATTATTATCATAAAAACAAATAACGATTTAATATTGAATAATAAAATAATAATATTTTATTGAACTATAGTATTGAAAATTTAAGTTTGAAGTTTAATTTCCATATTTCATTATTATTTTATCATAAATTATACAAATTCTTTTATCTTTTTATCTTAATGTTGAGTTGTTTCATTTGTTCACGTACGAGAAATAACGAGTGTAAAAAAATTAATTTGTGTTTATTTGTGGTCATACTAACTTGCAATACTGGTTACTTTACTATCTTAACTAAGAAATTATATGTTAATTTACCCCTGTATAACACTTTGTTATTGTTATACATTGTATGGTAAAACTTTGCAAGCGGCGGTGAAATTTATTTAAACACCCTAAATTTCTATAGGTATTTTTCAACAAAATCCTTAGCGCGACAGCTCTTGAATCGGTGTACAATTGACCCATCAGATGCAGAAAATCTTTGAATCAAATAACACAAAAATAATAATGCATCAAAACTAAAAGACTGTCTAACATTATCTAATGCAAGTATCGTATAGATTATTTATACAATATTTCTTGATCCTATAACTTAATGATCGAATGAGTATAATTATTCACATGAGGTGCATTTGAATAGCCTTTTGTTGATTTTAAATTAGTACACAAACCAAAATTAAAGAGAAATATGAAATTGATTCTATTATAGTATTAGAAAAAAACATACTTACTGTTTTGTTAAAGTACATTGTTTTATTATCCGTTTAATCAAATAATGAATCAATATAAATTAAACAATTACAATAGAATTATGTTAAATTGCCAAAACCCAAAGTATAAATTTGTACTCGACATTTCCATAATATATATTGAGTAACACCTTATGAACAATATGAGGGTTCTAATAAATGCAATGAATGTATGATGTCGTTATTGCATATAATTTCTTCACATAAGATTTATTGAAAACTCTATGTCATATAGAGCATAATTTCAACGGTAGCATTGCACGGAATAAAACAGATTTGAATTGGTTTCTTTTGAAATCAAAAATTCCTTGCAAAGAATAAAAAACAAGTTCTAATGATCATCATAAAATTTTAATGTTTTGTCATTATATAACCAATGAAAGCAATATATATTTTAATCGAATTTATTATTGTGTTATCAAGAAATGAAATTTAAAAACAATGATATTATGTGTAAAAGTATGATACAAAGCATACTCATGTTATTTAAAATCTTTTGTTTTTAAATTATTTAATCGTAGGTGCTACTTTTTTATTTACAAGGAGAATTGAGAAATTTGATGTGAAGAGTCATCAATCGAGATATCTACTGCAAACGAATTATAAGCCTTATTGACTACGTTTAGGATAAACACTGCAAAAAAAAAAGAAAAAAAAGAACGATTATGGCTGGTGACGGCGCAAATTGATAGCGTTGTACAGCGACAGACAATGCTACCAGTCGTAGCTAGCACCAAATATATGAGAGAGAACGCGCGGTTTCGCAAAATTTATAACAAATTGGAAATTTCAATAATCTCTTTATTCTGTAGTAACATAGAATTGAACTCGGTTGATAGGTGACAAAGGATTCCTGCACCAAAACTAACTCAAGATTTATTTTTGATCATAATCGTATATTTTTGTTATAATATTATGTTAGATAATCAACATATTTTATAATAATTGACATATAATTGTAAAATCAAGAACCGAAAATTGATACCAATGGCAATATAAATGTAATTATGATACATAGGAGAACTAATCTTTTGTATTTTGTTAATTTGTGTCCTTAGTACAAAAGAGATATAAAAATAGACAGTTATTATTTAATAAATAAAATTATATTAGATTTCCAATGCCAAAGTATAAACTAGTATATGACCTTTTTAAATATATAATTCTAGGAATAGTTCTTGAGTTGTATGAGACATTAAAATTTTAGAATTTTATGATATCCTTTGAGCATACAATTTTTTTAAATGTGATATTTTACAAAGTTCGCTTTTATATGGATTAAATTAATTATGGGCTTTATTGCTATATTGTATTGAATTGATTATTTATCGAGATTGCGAGTTTTTCATATTGTGTTATAATTGTGGTCAAATATTACCCAATGAAAGCAATACATATTTTATTAAACCTATCAATATTTTATCAAAAAATGGATATTGAAAACAATGTTTATATAGTTTTAATTATGATACATAGGTGTACTAAAATTATAAAAAAATCGTTTTTTATATTTATTATATACTATTGAGTGGTACTATGCGCATATACAATGTTAAATTTAATTATTTAATTATTAATTTAAAATTAATTTTATGAAAATAACAACGGGTCAACAGACGAAATATCCACTGTAGTCGAATTATGAGCTAAATGAACTACAGCTTCTTACAAGCTAAACATTCTTATAGATTGTCATCACTATAGGTGTAATTAAATTTTTAAAACTCTATTTTGTTAATTTATATACGAAATACAAAAAAAAAAACTTATATAATATCGTGTAAAATCTTAACATAGTTTATCACTGAAATATTTTGTAATTTATATAAATTAAATATAATTTATATTTAAACCCTACAAACTTAATTATTTTAACTTTTTCAAAATCAAAGTATTATTTAGTATATAACATGTCCAAATTTGTAGATTGAGTAACAGCTTTCGAGCAGCATGAGACCTTATTTAAATGCGACATTTGTGAGACGTTATATGATCTTTAACTTTCTTTACATATGACTTCTTACAAACACCGCATTAATATAGATTGTCTTCAGTATCGGAAAGCACTAAACTTGTTGGATATAGTATTATAAAATTACAAAATCTATGTTGAATGGAGAATTATTAGTTATCAATAAAACAAAAAGGAAGAAATATATAATAAAATATAAGAATATAGGATATAATTTAAGCATTAAGAATTATGATGACTAGTAATACATTTCAAAAAAAAACCTTCAATATAATTTTCGTAAAAATAAATATTTATTAACATCTGACCTTCAATATTTTGGAATTGAAGAACAGCATTTGAGTAGGGTGGAAGAAAAATGTTGACTTTGAACAGTCTCAACACATGACTCTATACACAAACAGCATTTGTATTGGTTGTCTTCAGTAAAAGAGCCCTTGCAATAGCACTGGACTCAATGTTAATATGATCAATATTTTTCCAATACTTCCTGAGACAAACAAACACGAGAATTAGTAATGTGCATTAAACAGTTTTTTATTATGTACAACCTTTAAAAATTCGTAAATTGAGAAACGCCATTTGAACAATNAAAATAAGATCAAACTTGGTCCACAGATGACAAATCCTTGGCCAATGCTTCCTGAAATCGATATACACTTGAATTACTATTATAAGATATTCAATATTTAAAGCCATTTATCTATTAAAGAAGGTCTAATATAAAAAATAACCATAATATTTTAAAGTTTTTATGAAACATTAATATAATGAAAATGTCAGTCTTATAATAAAAATGAAAAAAAAGAACATAGTATTTTGTAATACATGATGTTTATTCATTAACTTTTATAGGAATATTATAATTTGGGCGTGCAAAACTTAACATATTAAGTTTCTAAAAGAAAACAATTCTACATTGGTAGAATGATTGTGACATTTGAGTTGATTTAGTACTCATAGTTATGCGACCTGTGTGACAAGTCATAGGACAGTGATAATTATTTACATATTTCTTCTCACAAAAACCGCATTCATATAGTTTATCTTCAGAATGGTATGCGCCTTGAGAGAGGCAAATGTCATATAAACAGCAAACACATGTATCGTCTAATGATAAATCCCTAATATTATTGAAATGATTATGAATACAATACAATAAAGACATTACAAAATCTATATTGAATGGAGAATTATTTGTTATCAATAAAACAAAAAGTAAGAAATATATTATAAAATATAAAAATATGAGATATAATTAAGGCATTAAAAATTATGACGATTAGTAATACATTTCATAAAAAAAATTTTCAATATAATTTTCGTAAAAATAAATATTTATTAACATCTGATCTTCAATATTTTGATTTGAAGAATAGCATTTGAGTAGGGCGGAAGAAAAATGTGGACTTTGAACAGTCTCAACACTAGACTCCTTTCACAAACCGCATTTGTATTGGTTGTCTTCAGTAAAAGAGCCTTTGCTATATCACTGGACTCAATGTTAATATGATCAATATTTTTCCAATAATTCCTGAGACAAACAAACACAAGGATTAGTAATGTGCTTAAAACAGTTTTCATTATGTACAACCTTTATAAATTCCTATATTGAGAAACGCCATTTGAACAATATGTAGGTAAATAAAGGTGTGCTTTGTGAAAGATAATATTAGACATGGAATATTCATAAACACATGTCTTCGTACACACACCCCATTCCTATTGTTTGTCTTCAGATA